AGGAAGGAAGGAAGGAAGGAAGGAAGGAAGGAAGGAAGGAAGGAAGGAAGGAAGGAAGAAAGGAAGGAAGGAAAGGAAGGAAGGAAGGAAGGAAGGAAGGAAGGAAGGAAGGAAGGAAGGTTTTAAAATATTTAAGGAAGGAAGGAAGGAAGGAAGGAAGGAAGGAAGGAAGGAAGGAAGTATTATCTAAAAAAAAGGAAGGAAGGAAGGAAGGAAGGAAGGAAGGAAGGAAGGAAGGAAGTAATGAATTAATAAAAGGAAGGAAGGAAGGAAGGAAGGAAGGAAGGAAGGAAGGAAGGAAGAACTTAATTCATATAAGGAAGGAAGGAAGGAAGGAAGGAAGGAAGGAAGGAAGGAAGGAAGTTAATTCACAATTTAAGGAAGGAAGGAAGGAAGGAAGGAAGGAAGGAAGGAAGGAAGGAAGGTGAAACCATAAAGAAGGAAGGAAGGAAGGAAGGAAGGAAGGAAGGAAGGAAGGAAGGAAGATGATTTTACCTGCAAGGAAGGAAGGAAGGAAGGAAGGAAGGAAGGAAGGAAGGAAGGAAGGTTACTGACAGGAAAAGGAAGGAAGGAAGGAAGGAAGGAAGGAAGGAAGGAAGGAAGGAAGTGTCTCTTTTTATTAAGGAAGGAAGGAAGGAAGGAAGGAAGGAAGGAAGGAAGGAAGGAAGTTTGAAGGTTTTTGAAGGAAGGAAGGAAGGAAGGAAGGAAGGAAGGAAGGAAGGAAGGAAGTGCCTGTAATCCCAAAGGAAGGAAGGAAGGAAGGAAGGAAGGAAGGAAGGAAGGAAGGAAGGAGACCAGCCCGGCAAGGAAGGAAGGAAGGAAGGAAGGAAGGAAGGAAGGAAGGAAGGAAGGTGTGGTGGCTCACAAGGAAGGAAGGAAGGAAGGAAGGAAGGAAGGAAGGAAGGAAGGAAGAACCAGGGAGGTGGAAGGAAGGAAGGAAGGAAGGAAGGAAGGAAGGAAGGAAGGAAGGAAGTTTAATTCTTTTTAAAGGAAGGAAGGAAGGAAGGAAGGAAGGAAGGAAGGAAGGAAGGAAGAATCATCCTTTCACAAGGAAGGAAGGAAGGAAGGAAGGAAGGAAGGAAGGAAGGAAGGAAGACGTATGCAGCAGGAAGGAAGGAAGGAAGGAAGGAAGGAAGGAAGGAAGGAAGGAAGGAAGATATCTTGGCAGCAAAGGAAGGAAGGAAGGAAGGAAGGAAGGAAGGAAGGAAGGAAGGAAGTTGTGCCAGTCCTCAAGGAAGGAAGGAAGGAAGGAAGGAAGGAAGGAAGGAAGGAAGGAAGCCTAAAAATGATTCAAGGAAGGAAGGAAGGAAGGAAGGAAGGAAGGAAGGAAGGAAGGAAGTGACTTACCACTGCAAGGAAGGAAGGAAGGAAGGAAGGAAGGAAGGAAGGAAGGAAGGAAGAAAAAAAGAATGAAAAGGAAGGAAGGAAGGAAGGAAGGAAGGAAGGAAGGAAGGAAGGAAGACAAATTGTCTGATAAGGAAGGAAGGAAGGAAGGAAGGAAGGAAGGAAGGAAGGAAGGAAGGAATACTATTCAAAAAGGAAGGAAGGAAGGAAGGAAGGAAGGAAGGAAGGAAGGAAGGAAGGCTCCGGGCACCTGAAGGAAGGAAGGAAGGAAGGAAGGAAGGAAGGAAGGAAGGAAGGAAGATTTCAAACACGATAAGGAAGGAAGGAAGGAAGGAAGGAAGGAAGGAAGGAAGGAAGGAAGCCATGTAACTGTTTAAGGAAGGAAGGAAGGAAGGAAGGAAGGAAGGAAGGAAGGAAGGAAGCCTCTACAACTACAAAGGAAGGAAGGAAGGAAGGAAGGAAGGAAGGAAGGAAGGAAGGAAGCACAAACCATTTGTAAGGAAGGAAGGAAGGAAGGAAGGAAGGAAGGAAGGAAGGAAGGAAGAAAATGAACCTAAAAAGGAAGGAAGGAAGGAAGGAAGGAAGGAAGGAAGGAAGGAAGGAAGTATACATGTATACAAAGGAAGGAAGGAAGGAAGGAAGGAAGGAAGGAAGGAAGGAAGGAAGTCCTCCTAAATGAAAAGGAAGGAAGGAAGGAAGGAAGGAAGGAAGGAAGGAAGGAAGGAAGCATGTTCTTCCACAAAGGAAGGAAGGAAGGAAGGAAGGAAGGAAGGAAGGAAGGAAGGAAGAGCTGCACTCAGATAAGGAAGGAAGGAAGGAAGGAAGGAAGGAAGGAAGGAAGGAAGGAAGTGGGCACTTAGCATAAGGAAGGAAGGAAGGAAGGAAGGAAGGAAGGAAGGAAGGAAGGAAGAACTCATTATACTGAAGGAAGGAAGGAAGGAAGGAAGGAAGGAAGGAAGGAAGGAAGGAAGTAGACAATAGCAAAAAGGAAGGAAGGAAGGAAGGAAGGAAGGAAGGAAGGAAGGAAGGAAGATCTTCTTGCAGTGAAGGAAGGAAGGAAGGAAGGAAGGAAGGAAGGAAGGAAGGAAGGAAGTAAAATGATTGTTGAAGGAAGGAAGGAAGGAAGGAAGGAAGGAAGGAAGGAAGGAAGGAAGAACATAAAATAGGCAAGGAAGGAAGGAAGGAAGGAAGGAAGGAAGGAAGGAAGGAAGGAAGGTCTTTGCAACAGTAAGGAAGGAAGGAAGGAAGGAAGGAAGGAAGGAAGGAAGGAAGGAAGATTTAACACAGTTGAAGGAAGGAAGGAAGGAAGGAAGGAAGGAAGGAAGGAAGGAAGGAAGTGTTTATCTCTGAAAAGGAAGGAAGGAAGGAAGGAAGGAAGGAAGGAAGGAAGGAAGGAAGCATTACTACAGTAAAAGGAAGGAAGGAAGGAAGGAAGGAAGGAAGGAAGGAAGGAAGGAAGCATTCACACTAAACAAGGAAGGAAGGAAGGAAGGAAGGAAGGAAGGAAGGAAGGAAGGAAGTGTCCCCATCCCCCAAGGAAGGAAGGAAGGAAGGAAGGAAGGAAGGAAGGAAGGAAGGAAGGACATAATAAAGATAAGGAAGGAAGGAAGGAAGGAAGGAAGGAAGGAAGGAAGGAAGGAAGAATCCTTTCCAGTTAAGGAAGGAAGGAAGGAAGGAAGGAAGGAAGGAAGGAAGGAAGGAAGGTTACCTTCTAAAAAAGGAAGGAAGGAAGGAAGGAAGGAAGGAAGGAAGGAAGGAAGGAAGGTCACTGTGCCACAAAGGAAGGAAGGAAGGAAGGAAGGAAGGAAGGAAGGAAGGAAGGAAGAGTAGACAGCTATAAAGGAAGGAAGGAAGGAAGGAAGGAAGGAAGGAAGGAAGGAAGGAAGCTTTCACTTTCCAAAAGGAAGGAAGGAAGGAAGGAAGGAAGGAAGGAAGGAAGGAAGGAAGAAACTATGTCAGGTAAGGAAGGAAGGAAGGAAGGAAGGAAGGAAGGAAGGAAGGAAGGAAGTAGGTCACAAGGGGAAGGAAGGAAGGAAGGAAGGAAGGAAGGAAGGAAGGAAGGAAGGAAGTCTGGTTAGTTTGAAAGGAAGGAAGGAAGGAAGGAAGGAAGGAAGGAAGGAAGGAAGGAAGCATAGCCTAGATTCAAGGAAGGAAGGAAGGAAGGAAGGAAGGAAGGAAGGAAGGAAGGAAGTAAGCTCTTTATTAAAGGAAGGAAGGAAGGAAGGAAGGAAGGAAGGAAGGAAGGAAGGAAGCTAATCGTGTGCATAAGGAAGGAAGGAAGGAAGGAAGGAAGGAAGGAAGGAAGGAAGGAAGTCTCTCATAATACTAAGGAAGGAAGGAAGGAAGGAAGGAAGGAAGGAAGGAAGGAAGGAAGTATGTATCGAGATTAAGGAAGGAAGGAAGGAAGGAAGGAAGGAAGGAAGGAAGGAAGGAAGGTTTTCAAGGAAACAAGGAAGGAAGGAAGGAAGGAAGGAAGGAAGGAAGGAAGGAAGGAAGGGATATGTAAATATAAGGAAGGAAGGAAGGAAGGAAGGAAGGAAGGAAGGAAGGAAGGAAGTCTCCATCAGTATTAAGGAAGGAAGGAAGGAAGGAAGGAAGGAAGGAAGGAAGGAAGGAAGTGAAGCGCTGGGCCAAGGAAGGAAGGAAGGAAGGAAGGAAGGAAGGAAGGAAGGAAGGAAGAATATCAACATGTTAAGGAAGGAAGGAAGGAAGGAAGGAAGGAAGGAAGGAAGGAAGGAAGGAGGGTCTAACAGAAAGGAAGGAAGGAAGGAAGGAAGGAAGGAAGGAAGGAAGGAAGGAAGCACTTACGACACAGAAGGAAGGAAGGAAGGAAGGAAGGAAGGAAGGAAGGAAGGAAGGAAGCTGCGTACATAGCCAAGGAAGGAAGGAAGGAAGGAAGGAAGGAAGGAAGGAAGGAAGGAAGGG